AACAAGATAAAATTACTCAAACAATAGTCTTATAATGCGAGGCCTAAATAGGCACAAATATTACCTAAGTGAACTCGAAAGCTTACTCATGCAACAACAGAATGATGTTTACAAATCATCTTGAGAAGCGATACAATCTTTACAATGAAAAACATCAAAAATAAAATCACAGAATCTAAAAGAAGACCAAAGTTGCTTGAAAGCCCTGGCATCAGAACTCAACTGCTCCATATCTTCAGATAAACCTTGAATCCACTCCACCATTGCCCTGCAATCTATGTAACAAATGATATCTCTCCACCCCTTGTCTTTGGCCTGGTCCAGCACCCAATAGATTCCTTCAATGTAGGCCTCCACTGAACTTCCCATGAAGTCCCTAGATGTATCCCACAAATGAAGAACCCTATTTTCAGTGAATGCCTTACCACCCAACCCCAGTTTCCCATTTTGAACCCAACAGCTGACTGCAATCCCCATTTTCTCCATCTGCTCCTCCCCCCTTCTACTGTCAGACATCCTCATATTGCTACTTCCTCCAATCTCATCACTCCCCCTAACCTCTGTCTCTATTCTTCTCCTTGCAATTCTCACTGGGTCCTCACAGTCCCTAAACAATTGCCAGTCACCAAGAGCTTTCTGGACAATTTTGTGCTCCCTAACCCACTTTTTTTCAAACACCCAACTATTCCTAGTTTTCCAAAGCCACCGCAAAAGATAAGTAGATAAACTAATCCTATCAATCATGTGGTAAGCCTTAGAAGCAGTACAAATCTCATACCACCACACCCCAAAATCAGTGTCTGCCTTAGCCATCTTATCCCAGCTCACTCCCAATAATTGCCAGCACACCCTAGCCCTATTACAATTAAACAGAATGTGATTCAAGTCCTCATCATCCTCCCCACAAACATCACAAATCAATTCACACCCCAATACTCTCTTAGCCAACTGCCTTTTAGAACTAATAAAATCATTCCAGCACCTCCATAAAAAGTTTTTGATTTTGTTCTGAATTGGCAGCCTCCAAGTGACCCTCCACATTTTATCTACCTGAGTCATAGTACTACTGGAAGCCCTATCTCTAATGTTCGGCCTGTTCTGCTTCATAATCATCTCATACACATTTTTAACAGAAAACACACCATCCCTCTTCCCATGCCACACCCACCTATCTCTCATACTCACAGCATTCAGGGGAATATTCAAGATGGCTTTAGCAGTATTAGGCTCAAAAGTCTGGTGGATTAGGTCCATATCCCACTGGCAACCCCCTTCTCCCATAAGATCCCTCACCTTACTCAATCTAGCCCTATCCTCTAAAAACCTGCAAGCAGGGATAAACCCTTTAATCTCAGGGATCCAGGGAGATTCCCATATATAAGCTAACCTACCATCCCCTATCCTATACCTAATACCCATCTGAAGGGATTTCCTAGCACCTAACCAACACTTCCATAACCAAGAGTCTCCCCCTCTGCTTTTGACATCCCACAATTTAGACTTTGGAAAATATCTACCTTTGATTACCCTGCTCATCAACAGATTAGGCATTGTAAGCACCCTCCACAACTGTTTCACTAAGAGAGCCTCATTGAAAGCTCTCAAATCTTTAAATCCTAACCCCCCTTCTCCCTTAGACTGAGTTAACCTATCCCATCTAGCCCAATGCCATTTGTTTCCCTGCCCACTATCTTTTTTCCCCCACCAGAAATTAGCAGAATCTCTACAAATGTCATCACACACACTCACAGGCACCCTATAACAAGACATAATATAAGTAGGAATTGCCCCTATCACTGATTTCAAAAGAACTTCTCTCCCTGCTTCACTCAAGTACACATTTTTCCAACTAGAAATTCTGTTTTTTACTGTCTCACTCACAAACTGGAAAGTTTCTCTCTTAGACCTACCAATTCCCAAAGGGAGACCCAAGTATTTAGAAGTTCTGACTTGCTTGATCCCTTGCAGAATGTTACACACACTGGAAATAGTAGAATTATCAGAATTCTTAGAGAAAAAGATAGAGGATTTATCCAAATTGACACTTTGACCAGAAGCAGACCCATATTCAGAAAGAACTGTGAGAATTAGGTGAGCATGAATAGCATCAGCTTTACAGAGTAACAAAGAATCATCTGCAAAGAACAAATGAGAAATTACAGGAGCCTCTCTCCCCACCCTAATCCCCTGATACTTCCTATTAATTCTAGCTTGACAAATCAAATTAGAGAAAGCTTCTGACACAATAATAAAGAGATAAGGGGATAAAGGATCCCCTTGTCTCAATCCTCTACTAGCCCTAACAAACCCTGCATTAACCCCCTTCACATTAAAACTAAAAGATGTGGAACAGATGCAAGCTAAAATCCAATTAACAAACCTCTGACAAAAACCCATCTTTAAACAAACCTTAGCTACAAAACCCCACTCAATTCTATCATAAGCCTTAGACATGTCCAATTTCACAGCCATAAATTTCTCCCTACCACCCTTTTTGCTATTATTGTAATGAATACACTCATTAGCAATGATAGCATTGTCCAAGATTTGTCTACCAGGGACAAAAGCAGATTGAGCAGTGGATACACACACATGCAGGACAGTCTTCAATCTATTGGCAAGGATTTTAGCAATAAGTTTATACAAAACATTGCACAAACTAATGGGTCTGAAATCAGCAACCTGGGTAGGGTGCTTTCTCTTAGGGATAAGAGTGATGATGGCATGATTAATGCCCTTAGGGATTCTCCCATTCTGGAAAAAATTGGAGACAACCTCCCCTACATGACCTTTAACTATGGATCAGGAACTATGAAAAAAACCTACTGTAAGACCATCCTCCCCTGGGGCTTTATCCTTATGCATATCACAGAGGACTTCCCATATCTCTTTTTCAACAACAGCCTCAGTGAGTTTAGTGTTCATATCAGAGGATATAGAAGTGGGAATTCCCTCAAGATTGCAGGACTCCAGCCGAGGGTTGGATGACTTAAATAAGTTGGCAAAATACTCCTCAAGCACCTCAATAGTATCCAAAGAAAACAATTTAACAACCTATATGACAGTATTGCTGAAAATGTTTTTCAATAGAAAACAATAACACATTATAAGATTATTACTTAAAAGTTTACACCAAAAAACTATAATGAACACAATTTTTCATAAGAAAACATCAACACCTGTGATAAGCTTATTACTTAAAAGCTAATATAAAAAAACAATCAAGAGCTAAGAAGTATCGCTAATCAGAAATGGGTGTGTTTAATTCTTCTCCACAACTCTTCAAAAGAAAGGGAAAAAAAGGAAGGAAAAAGCAAACAAACAACCTTATTGGGTAAGATAGTTCATTGTTTCAAAACTATGCTCAAGTTTTCACCTGGAATTTCATCAAACACCATGTCTACGTTTAGGTTTTAGTTAGTTACTCTAACTCATGTATATATAATTCATTCTGTACTCTCAGAAAACCAAAAAAAGGAGCAAATAAATGGCTTAATATCCAATGAACAAACCACTTCACAACTAATCCGAAAACATCATTTGCCAATGCGACAAGTTGCTGTCTGAAATATGAAGTAGGAACAGACCACTATCAACTTCAATTCCTTTTTGGTTTACTAATTCATTAAGCAAATCTGAAGTTGCCAAACCCTAATAACATAAAAGATTAACAGACTAATATGATTTAGACCTACAAAAAACCTGAGCTAGGGCTGATATAGGCCAACTGTAGTAGCAGTGGCCTGGCGACAGGGCAAATGGTCCTGCGAACAAGATAGAGAAAAAAAGAACTTCAGCACAAGACTGCCAAGGTGCCGATCATTTCACTCAAGCGATTTTCATAGCCGACTATAACAAATCGCAGGTATTCAGTTGGCCGACTTTTAGCACTGGAAAATACGTTATCTTCAGATGTGGAACTCTTTTATCTATTTCCCAGGCAAAGAAGATCCCTATCTCTACATAAATGGGCATGACACTGTCAATAACACTAAGGTAAATCCGAACTTTCTCCAGAAAGCATCATTTGACTTAGCATGGGGAAACATTACCCATCGTGAAAACATTATCCATCGTGAAAAAAACCCAATAACTTGTACTTCTACTATAACAGTACAGGGAGGTTTTTCATTTCAGTTCAGATTACAGACCTGGAAGCAAAAGCCACTTTCTTACCTTCGTCAAATCCCTGCATAGTTTAAGTTGACGAAATATGGCAGGAAAGGATAGAGAGACAATTTCTGCACCAACATCCTAAATCAAGTTTATAAATCCACAAATACAGCAGGTGAAAAATAATATAATTTCTCAACAAAATACAAACAGATTGATTCTTTCCCTATGTTATTTCAAAAAAAAAAAAAAACAAAAAAACAAATAAAATATCAGGGCACCATGATTTACCATAAAAGAATGAGAATCCTTGGCAAAGAGTATTATCAAAGCTGAAAAATCTTAGAAAGTTGGAACCCAAAAATAAATCCAACAGGCATTTACACCAAGATGTAAAAGCAAATCCAAATTACTCGGACGCTATCAAGAACACCACACAAATTTCAGAACAAGTCTGAATATGTACAGACAATGAGAAGACACACCAGTATTTAAACCATGTTTCGAAACCAAACAACGGTCAGTAGTAGTAGAAACCTCCAGTCACGTCCTTCCCTACATTCCTCAAAATCCGGGTTCTCAATGCGTGACAAAATGGTACCTCGAGTCCACATAGCTCTCGACATCCCAAAGGATAGAGCCGAAAGTCACTGCCTCCAGAAAAAGTCTCCTCAGCCCACCAAAGCTGATCATAATCTTCACGTCTTTAGAAGAGTCGATGTTCCCATCTGACGTGAAGATCATCTCCGGCCTACCAAACAGAGCCTCCGTATGTTTCTCGATAATATTGACAGCCTCCTTAGACCTAATATTCGCGTACCTCTGAAGAGTCTCCCCATCAAACGACATCACATATGTCCTCAGCCGACATGGCTTTAAATCGACATAACTTCCATTATCAACATCATCCGACCAAGAAGAAACTTCCGGATGCGTCAGTGGGTTATCGGGAGAAACTTCCGCAGGTAACCTCTCATCCGCCATTACTTCTGTCAAATTCACTTCACCATCGTTGCCTTCGGGAAGGAAGTTCATGGTCTTCTCGAGCTGAAACCTCTGGTCAACCCTTTTAAGAAAATAGCCGTATATTACTGAGGCAGCATACACCTGACCTACCCTAAGCTTGCTTATTTGGGCTACCGAGCTGGAGTGAGTAAGGCGTTTACCAAGAATGAGGGTGAGATGGTTTTGGATCATCTCGTAGGCTTCGGGTGAGTGGAGGCGCCCGAGCTTCTGATCTTCCGTGGCAGGCCACGTGTCAACGCAACCTGAATTGCTGGGCGGAGATCGGGTAATTGTGGGGACCAAGGGCACGTCAGCATCCATGAATTTCTGCACCACTAGAGCGTAGAGTATTTCTTCCAAGGCCTTGTCCCTTTCGTTGGCTTTGACCTCGGCAATTCTCCTGTGGCCATGAAAAGAGCATACCGAAACTTAGGATATTTTTGTATTTACATCAGATTATATATTCGTCCATTAAAAAAATATTTTCTTCACAAACAGTGATTTTATACCAAATTCTCCTCATCTACACATAATTTTACACATAATTTTACTACGCATCATTTCCAGTAACCACTTTCATAACTGCCTATCATTTCCAATAACCTCTCTCATAGTTTTTACATCACATTGGCTTTAATTACTATCTTTTAAATATTATTTAAATACAAACTCAAAATTTCACTCAATCCTCCGGTTAATCAACTTTTTTTCAAAATTAACTCACTGTATCCAATAAAATTCAATCAAAAGCAAACAATTTTATTTTGAATCACACCCTTATAAATTATTATTCGAATTATTATAAATTTCAACCACCAAATGTGAGTGAATGATGTCTAACCATATTCTCAAAATGTATTAACTTTCCTCACCGATCAAAAAGAAAATGTATTAATTTTCTTTCGACACACATTCATCATGTTTTTCTAACCCACAAAGAAAGCTCAAATGTGGACTCATATCCAATCACACCATTAAATATGATAGACCATGCACTTACTAGATCAAGTACGATAACGAGGTCACACAATTCTTAACATTATAGATCCACATTCCTCAAAAGTTTTCTATGGGTGTTTGTCTGTTTGTTACTAACTACGTTAATATGATTTTCATGGCCCGCGTTATGGGTCGATCTTGAATTACTAAAGAATAAAAAAACCTACGAACCTGTATAACACAAGATCGCTGCCGGATGCAGATGGCTTCTCTTTCTCTTTATCGGCATCACGGTCGATCTGAAGCTTCTCAAGCTGCTGCTCAACAGCATCTGGGACGAGATGTGGGTGACTCACTAGCATCTCAGACAGGAATTGACCAACTGGAGACTCCAATTTAAGTGGTGCAACAGAAGAAGTTGAGTTGCCTGAATCAGAAGGTTGCATACAAGCTCTGATCACAGTGTGTTTCCTGCTCAAAAGGTTCACCTTTCTGTTGGCCAGCATCACTGGGTAAACTGAATATCTTTGCTGCAATATGCCACTCCGAATTAAAATTGGATAGATAACTAAAATTTAATTTCGGATATATTAGTAATTACCAGTTTGGTGATCTTAGCTCATCAATCAAGTAATCTACAGACTACAAGAAAAGGAGCCATGATGCTTTATGAATTTGTAGTTTAGAGGGTTACAGTTATATGGAAAGATACAATAAAAAGAAAAGGCACAAAAAAAAAAAAGAAAAAAAAGAAAAAACAGCTGAGAAAACAGTTTACAAGATTATTTCACTCATTTCCTCGTCCAGCTCGAGGCTTCACATTTGAGATTCAGCAACAAGAATAGAAGTAAGCAGAAGACTCACATACAATAGAGAAAGAAGCCAATAACAAAAGTGGAACCCGTTTTGATCATAAAAAAATACACCAAGATAAAGTTATTCAATAATTGACAAATTTTAGTATCCCTAATTCACTCTACTCAAAGCGTACTCTATAAATTAACAAAAATAAAAAATCCGCAGATGACAAAATAAAAGTAGAAAAATTTCGCGAAAAGAACAAAATCAAATTGGAAAATTTTCAGAAATGTTCACATAGGAGCTCAAACCTAATTCATCTCTTCCCTCAAAATCACACCAGATGAGAAAAGAAAATCACCTGAATCGAGGCGTTGGAGGGCAGGCACCTCGAACCGACCACCAAATCGGGTCGGGCCGGGCCACATCGGGTTGACGCCCAATTAGGCGAATGGCTGCTGAAGGAAGCTCGAAAAGCAACAACAGTTTCCATTCTGGATAACCTACACAGCACGCAAATGATTCAAGGTTCAAGGACCTCGCAATAATTTTGCAGAAACTATGGCCGACAATATAAAAATCGAAATAAAATACCTCGATGAAACTGCACCGGTAACCGGAAGAGAAAAATATCGGCAGGATTTAGGGATTGAGCTAACAATAGACAGAAAAATATACGCTGCTGGTTTGGGGCGAGGAACAGACACAGTGGGCTATTCTGGATTGGGTTTTTATTTTTTTACTTACAGCTATTGCGGTGAACTTCGAGTGACGTTGAAACTTGAAACAATGCCCACTCCAAATCTATTCAACTTCAAACCAAGGTATTACAGGTAAAATGATGAATGAGAGAATCGAATTAACATTAATTTTTTAAAAAATATTTTTGTATTTCAATTTGTCATTAAAAATTTCATGAAAATAGAATATATATATATGTTATTAAACACTTCCTCATGTACAATATTATTGATTTGATTCTTTGACACGCAAAGTACTATATAGGTGATCGAATTTATCCAAAATTGCATATTATTAGTTATTAGTTAACAAATTTTTTTTAAAAAATAGAGAATCTTATTTATTGAATAAAATTAAAATAGAAAAAAAGTAGAATTTTTTAGGATTTTCACCCATTATTTATTATAAATCTAATTCTAAATTTCAATTAAGAAAAATTGAAAAGAATCCTTAGTTAATCCCGGAAATGAAACTGATTTTCCTACCAATAAACCGATTTTTTTATCAAACAAATTGATCCGAATTTTTTTTAAACCAAATAAAAAAATCATCACATTTTCCTAAAAATGCAATCGAATTTTCCTAACATTGCATCGATTTTTGTACCAAACAAGTTGAATTGAAAATAATTCTAATAAAAATTTTAATAAATCGTTAATGTTTATGTAACCGTCTATTTCCTAAAAAAAATGATATGACCTTAACCAAAAAAAAAAAATGATATGAACTTACCAAAAACTCGGTAAAACATGAATTAAGAGAAAACATAAGAATTTATAAAAATCGATGCATTTAAATTTTGAAAAGTTGCACACAATTTTTCCTAAAGGGGTAATTGTTTATGGATTCAACTAGTTTTTATTTAGTTTGTTTTTTAACTATAGTTAATTTTGAAAAAAGGTGGTATAGTTAGTTGTTAGTGGATATGTTAAAATATTATTTAAATAATATAATTAAAGTTGATTTGATATAAAGTAGGAGAAAAATGATTGGAAGTGATGGTTAGTTAAAATTATGTGAGTGGATGAATAGTGAATTAAAGTTGATGTGATGTGTAAGAATGATTGATTGATATTATTTAATTATATTGATAATATGGGAGATAGTGGAGTTGGGTTAAATTGAGTTAAATTTGAGTTTTGAATGGTTTTTTTACTGTTGAAACTATAAACAATCGGCCCCTATATAATTGGATAAGGTGACTTTAAATATTATTGATGAACCGCTTTTGTTATCAAAAAATGTGGACACAATTTTGAATGTACATCCCGTCCAAGTATCAGTTTTATTTTAAAATAAAAATTGCACGTGGCTTTATCCAATTTACACAATTTTTTTGAAAGAAAAATTATTCAATAAGATTGGAAGAATTGATTAAGAATTATACAACTATTTGCTTCATAAATTTATATCCAATTTGCACGGTTTTTAAGTTAATTTGTATTTAGAATTGTTTTCATAAATAATTGACACATTTTTTTACATAAGAAATCTCTAAATTTGTTACCAAAAAGGATATGATTTAAATTTTGGTAAAAAAATAAAATATGATACGAAAAAAAAATGGGATTCAAATTTTGCCATAAGAATCTCAAAATTTGTTACCAAAAAAATAGGATTTATATTTTGTTAGTAAAGATTCACGTGTTTTTTTGAACTTTCCATTAATAGTAAGTCAAACATTATATTTATTTGGTCAAACTTTATATTAATGTATTTTTCCATCAACCTCTTTATATATATATAGATATAGATATAGATATATATCTTGATGCTCTAGCACGTAAGACTTAGAGAAAATTACACGCTTTGTTTCAGCTCAGCTCGGATGTCAACATTCAGCCCCCAAGCTCTGGAGTGACACTTCGGGTTGTCATTTTAGGGGTCGTGATCTTCTGCAATCCAAGATAAGTAAGAAGTTGTCACCTACTCGTGAAAAAACCGAAGTAGTGTGGTTCCCAAGGCTCTTAAAGAAAATACACGAACGGTTTCCAATTTAAATGACGCATCCGACCCTCAAAAGTCGCATCCGTTCAAATCAGAATGATGTGGCACCCATCAAAGTGTCCGTCGCGTTCTTAATCACAACTTCCATCGGGGCCCATTTTCTTTCAAATGGTTACCTTTCCTGAAAGGTCGAGTCAATCTCATCGTAGCGTCCCTCTCTGTAAGAGCAACTATAATGGCAGCTTTTGATAAGGTTTAAAAACCTTCTGCTGCCAGCGTTATGACTAAAGAGGGGGAGTGACAGGTTTGAGTTTTTAAAGCAGTGTTGCAATTAAAACGCCGGGTTGTGATTTTTTTGTGGGCCCTTTCATTACACACAACAATTATATATACTTGCCATGTCATTTTTTGTCCATTTTATTTTGAAGTTTAAATTATATATTAATTATTGATTTTTTTTATTATGAATCTTAACTGATTTTTAATATTACAAAATTAAAGATTAAATATTGTTAAGAACCAGTAAATCTTATGTTAAACCTACTCACGACAAATTATTGTTAAATATTTGAAATGTTTACTAAAAAATTAATTGAGCTATTTATTTTAATAAATTCTTATAAATTTATTTCCTAAAAATTTAATTTTCACTATTGCAAATTCTAGTGTTATATTTATTTTTTTTAAATTTTAAGTGTACATAAAATATATTTATTATGATTAGTATATATATCATTGTAAAAAATAATGAGTAAAGTTATTAGTAAATATGAATTAAAAATTGATATATAAATTAAAGTAAGTGGAAAACATGCGGGGCCCACTAAAAAAAATTTGTGAGGTTTATGGTTATTGGAGGTTTGTGATATTGGGAGTAAGAATGAGGTTTACATGACGTGGAGTATTGGGAATGAAAAAAAGTAAGGTTTATAAACCTTACGATTAAAAATTAGAGAGGAGATGTCGCCGCTTCATATGGGGTGGAGGTGTGCATGGCTAAGCATTTGGGAGGACTGGGATTGAAAGTCCACAGAAGAATGAATGAGGCTTTCTTAATGAAGCTGGGATGGAAATTCTTAACCGATCCTGAGGCATTATGGGTTCGTATCTGGAAGGCAAAATATGGGAACAACCCATTTACTCAAGGAACCCATCGACAAAGACCCAGCTCGGTGGTGACGCGAGCTGTTAGGAGAGTTTGGGAGCGGGTGGTATCCAATGTTCCCTGGGCGGTGTGTAATGGGCGCACAGGAAAATTTTGGTCCGATCGTTGGTTGTTTTCCGGAAGTAACCTGAGAAGTGTGGCCGTTGGGAGTATCCCGAAGGAGCAATTGCAGGAGCCAGTGCGCGCTTTTGTCTCTGAAGAAGGTTCCTGGCGATGGGAGCTATTTGCCCATCTAGTGCCGGCGAGCATGCTGTTGCAGATTGCAGCAACACCGGTGTCGTGTGATGATCTGGGTGACGATCGCATGTACTGGAGTAATTCTCCCTCAGGAAGGTTTTCCACAGCTGCGACGTACGAGACTCTTTCTGGAGAAGTCGCATCGAGTTCAAGACGACTGTGGAAAGCTATTTGGCATTGGTCGGGCCCTCAAAAAATCCGACAATTCTTATGGTTGCTTGAAAGACCGCCTGCTCACTAATCGAAAGCGGACGCAGGCATCTAACGAGCTCGTGGTCGTGTGAAATATGTGGTTATAGCGAGGAATCAACACTGCATGTTGTCAGAGACTGCCCCTTGGCCTCAAAATTATGGCGTCGCCTTTCTCCCAGGTACTTTTCACGCTAAATTCTTTTCATCAACTCTTGAATCATGGCTTTGGTCAAATATCGTGAATTCTACTGGAATCTCAATTGCAAATTGGGAGCGTATTTTTGGTGTCACTGTTTGGAAACTCTGGACTTGGAGAAATGAATACATCTTCCAAGGGAAAAAGCAAGATGTGGTGGGGGGGCTGCATGAAATCGGCGGATTTGTAGATGGTCTATTTAAGATTTTGGAGGGCAATAGGAAGCTCGGAGGAACGGGCCGGCTGAGGGTTCCTCGAATGATAAAATGGGAAATGCCCCCTCTTGGGTGGGTCAAAGTTAATTCAGATGGCTCTTTCAACAGTATCTCGGGCATTGGATGTGCAGGGGACTTGTTCGAGATGAGCAAGGACATTGGTTGGGTGGTTTTGGTATGAAAATCGGGTTTTGTTCAATCACGGCAGCAGAATTATGGGGTCTTTTCCAAGGACTTAGACTGGCCTGGGATTTGGGATTTCGACAGGTGGAAGCCGAAGTCGATAATGAGAGTGTTGTGAATTTCTCAAATTCGGTAGGTGATGTTCTTGGGGTTCATACGGGTCTTATCTTGGGTATTAGAGAGCTTCTCAGTCGATCGTGGGTGGTTAAGGTGCAGCATGTTTTCCGCGAGGCGAATTTTGCAGCCGATCATTTGGCTTCCTTCGCAGCGGATGGACCTTTGGGGTATCACTATTTTAATGTTCCACCAGATGGTGTGCGTCCGTGGCTAGAACACGATCTTATTGGTGTTACCTACCCTAATTCACTCACTATGTCTTCTTTGTCTTACCGATAAGCGATTTTGAGCCAATCAGAGATGAGGGTACGTCTCCATTGGCGACGACCTCTGAGATGGTATTGTTTTCACCGCCGGGCGACATGGCAGTTTTGACACCATGGGAGTTATTGGATCTATACCTGAACGAGGATATCGACATGGGTCTCGTGGAGGAGGTACTTCAACTTCAAGGGGACACCTGTGATCGTGAGCGGTTGCTTTTGAGCGGTAAGAGATAAAAATTAATTGAAATTCTAAAGTCCGAGATAAAAGAGTTAAATTGTAGTGGAGAAGTAGGAACTAGTAAGAACAACATAGGTGGAAAGCAAGAGAAAGGAAAAGAGCACCCAAAAAGGAGTCGAGTGTTTCAAAAAGACTAGTGCTGATAATATCATTGGCTTTCGATGATATAGATATTTTCTAGAAAGAGACAAATTAACACATCTGACAAAGGTGCATTGATCTTCCCAAACACTACACTACATTGTTGCTCCTGCTGACTAAGATCACTAATTATAAAGGAAAGCAGGATATATTAGAAATTATCTCC